TTGATCGATCTCGACATTTTTTACGTTTGAATTTTTTCTCAACCGACTTTCTTTTTCTGTTTATTTCGTATCTAGAACGATTTCATTTACGTGAACGACGACACGAAATCTTACAAAATAATTGGTTATTCAAATGTCAATGCCATATTTGTGAACGACATGAGAAAGATAAAAAATCTGATGAACAATGGGCCTCTTATTCAAATGACAACGATTTTATTTTGGAATATGATTCGAAACTATCACAAGAATGTATGGAAAAATTTTCCAAATCACTAAAATTCATACAAGAACATTATCATAATAGTTTATTACAAATGTTTATGTTACATTTCAGTATTCTTGTACCATGTTGTATGTTGAAACAATGGCAAGATGTTGTTAAATATTCAAGAAAAGCAATTTGTCTTGGAAAAATAATCTATGGTGATGATTATGAAAGATATTTAATACCAATAAAAGAAATCATTGAAGCAAAAGTGCCGATGGAATATCATACTGGATTAGAAAAATATTTTAAATAAACATTGTATTTTTGAAAATAAAACTGACGGTATAGGTGTGAAATATGAAAATATTAATCGGTCTGATTTTTTTGTCTGTTAACACTCAGATGTTTGGATGCATTTGACAATAGGAATTGATGAATAAAACGAGTATAAACCAGAATTCAATTGAGGTACGCTCGATATTTGAGAAAATCCATCTGCGAAATACCGTGCTGAGGCATTTACCAATTCAAATGATCGCATAATCATTTTGATTTTGATTTAAATTTTAATTGTTTTTTCTAATAGAAAATAATTTTTTCCAAATGTCGATAATCAAAGAAAAAATTCTGTTGAAGGAAATTAAAAAAATTCAGAATTAATTGTGCTTAGCTTTATTTAACTAATTTTCAATTTTATTACAAGTAGTTTTTATAAATATTGAAACTTGAGTAAACTCTGAGTCAAACTGTAGTAATTAGTACCTTCAGATGTGTATGGATATGTAAAAGTTGATCACTAGATAATATGGCTCAATCGGGTAGACGACGAGTAAGTAACGCATGGTATGCATGTACGAATCTAACTTTCCGCACATATTTCTATCATTTAGACTAGTCCGAACTAGACCGCTACATAAGACTGAAACCTAATAGATGTCGCGTCACAGGCGCTCTGCTTTTTGTGTACTCAAAAAGTGAGTACACTCTAGAATCGGTCAGTGTGTCCGTCCGTCCGTCCGTCCGTCCGTCCGGCCGTTTACACGATAACTTTTGAAAGGAGAGTCAGATCGCGATGAAATTTTCTACACAGTTTAGTCTTAACAATATCTCGGTCGAGTTCGAAGATGAGAAGGATTGGCCGAACCATTGCTGAGTTATTGCAAAAATAGTCATTTTTCCCTATGAGAAGATAGACCCTTCTCTGTTTTCATAAAAAACTTTTCCTATCATAGTCATATAAAACCCCAACTATTATATACCATTCGATAGAGAATTTCACGAGCTACAAAATGGTATATAAAACATAAAGAAACAAGAAAGCTAACTCGCCTATTGCAAAGATAATTAATCGGAATTCGGTTCTGTTTTTGTCCACGCTCTATGTGACCCACAATTAGAGCTCTATCTTCCCATCACAGAGATGATAGTTCGAGGTTTTCTAGAATGGAGAACTCAGATCTATGTTCCATTCGCCTCGAAATCCCATTGGTTGAACGGTAACCAATAGAAATCAAGTTATAGGAAAAACGAGTTTCATAGGGTAAATCAAGGTGAAGAGTTCAAATCTGAGCTCTATTCATCTCTAAATCCTATTGGTTGAGCAGTAGCCAATAGAAATCAAGTGTTTACAGAAAGGGTTTGCCAGGACAATTTTGATGTCCACACATTCTAGGGTGACTCATCTGTCTCATTCACTTTTTGAAGTACACATAACTCTCGGATTTCAATCCGAGGTTTCCACATTTATTTTAATTTAAAATCTATTTTCGGACGGGATGTCCAGACGGGGTTAAAGATTCCAAACCATTTTGGACTAGTTATGTAGTAGGACTTTTTGAGAAAACGACTAGACATGACGCATAGTCACGACTAGAAAAATGACTAGTCTTTTTACCCGTCCTTTGCTCGCTTGGGAAGGCACAATGTTACTTCCATTAGTTCAGAAAAACTTTCGTCACTTGTACAGCTCGAATACACTAACTTTTTTATCGGAACAAGAAGATCATCGTACTGCTCGATATCAAAAATCGAAGTTTAGCCATTAGTAATATTTCCAATAATTGTTATAGTCATTGGATTATATATTTCAAACTCGATTGAATAAGTCGCTTCATTGTTGAAAAATAGATATAAATTATGGCTGGATTATGTCATTGCTACGAATTGTCCATGCAACGAATTGTTCGTGTGACGAATTGTCCATGTGACGAATTGTCCTAGCACCATCATCTTCACATCAATTATGAATATTAATTAAGAGAAAAAGAAATTTAAATCATAATTTAGCTTTATATGCATTGTTGAGATCTGCTTAAAATAAATTATTTATTGTTTGTCTAATCTATATATAATACAATTGGTGAACCATAATGAATGAGTGACTTAGTATTTCGACTAGAAGTTTTTTTTTTGCCTTTTTAACACTTAGACCTGATTATTTTTCCAGAAGATGTTCCGTCAAACTCTCTACAAAAATTTAATCAGACTTATTTCTCTAGGGAGTTAAGAAGAAAAGTGAAACGCACCCATTTTCTAAGCTATTTTTTTGTAAAAGTTTCTGAGTATTTTAATCAACTCTATAGGCAACGAAACTAAAATGTGAAGATATTTTTGAATATTTTGAAGTGTACTTGTTCTAAATGACCCGAATCTGCTACATTTTAATCTTTTTCTAGTTGAATTCCAGAAGAAATTGATAAGATAAAACTTTGCCACTCAATCTTGATAAAGGAATCATTTTTCCTCAAAATGAAAAACAAAACTCGAGTTCAAAAGATACTAATTACTTTAGCTTCATTATGTAAAATATCCATAATCTGTTGAAGTTTTTTGAATGTCTAAAACAGAAGAAATTCGATACTAGTCTCTAAGATTCATTTCGTATTTATTCACTTGGCTCATTTCTATTTGTTGAGAATAATTCTTCGTTTAGTTTTTCTTCTTAAAGTTCCATAGAAATAAATCTGATCAAGTTATTATAGAGAGTTTGACTGAACATCTTCTGGAAAAACAAACAGATCTGAAGGTTGAAAAGAAAAAAGAAGTTATAGTCGAAGTATTGAGCTAGGCTCATTCTTTTTTAGTTCACCCACTATTCACTCATAAATCTATATCAATCATTACAAATTCGAATGAACTACTACCCAATTCTTCTTTTAAAAATCAAGTTTTCTAATTCAATTTATTTTTTTTCTTTTCTAATGTTACAAAAAATATTTAAATACTAAAGTTGAATGTCTTTAGAAATTACATAATAAACGTAATAAATCACTTAGAAAAAACGAAAGACATGTAATTTTCAAATAGTTCAACGCATTTATTTTCTCTTTGAGAAATTCTAAAATCAAACGAATGCAATGAAACATTTACTAGTCAAAAAAGAAAACATTGAAAAACACAAGTAAAATTTGAATTAACTCAAACAACTAAAATAACATTAAAAGCACTAACAAATGAACTTATAATCTTTCAAAATCTCACATTTCAACAAAAGATTTTATTCCCACAAAATACGTACCTGTCTATATTATATGGTTTGATGACGATGAACTTGTTTATGAGGTTTATTATAATATTCATTCTTTATTACGAGATTTAAATCTATTTACTAAGTAGAAATAATCTAATATTCAAATATAGAAGAATATAAAGATTAGTCATATTATAAAGAGATTAACTAGGTCACTCGAGAAATTACAACACAGTTTAGATAATTCAAATAATTCTATTGTTAAACAAATTAATTTACCTAGTATTCGAAGCCTTATTATATGATGTGAGGATATCATTCTTTATTCAGAATGTAAACGTTTAAGAATTTAATATGTTAGTTACATAATGAATACATATCTGAAAAAAAAGAAATCGATCTTTTTTGTTTGATACGAATAGTCTAAATAATTTGCTATTATTGAAAATTCGAATGATTCTCGTCATTGGTGGTGACTTTGCAGTAATTGTTGATCATGATCATGAAAAAACTAAGAATAGATGTTCGTTTTTAGGATTTCATTGATAAACATCTATCAAATAATGCAAATATCTCACCAATTGATAAAATATAACTTGAATATTATGAAAAGTCTCTTAGAGAGTTCGAAAAAATTTTTATTCATCAAATTATTGTTAGTTGTAAATGATCAAAACAATAAACATCTATCTTAGATAGAATTATTAATTGAAAGTCATCTGATCATTTAATTCCATGGTGAGATGTAGCAGAAATTAAACGAGATAAAAGAATATTTATTCGGAGTATTTATTTGATGTATTCAACACCAAGTGAATACTTTTCTTTTATCTATGACTAATGATCAATGTGTTTCTAAAGCAACTAAAGTTACAGATAGTCTTAATGATCGAAAATTTCAAACTGTTTATTTTATTGTCATACGTGAGAATAACCAAGACAAAGTTCACTTATGACGTAATTCAATCACACGGGACTCAAAATATGATGCTTAATAAATCAAATGTTATTTTCGTTTTCATTTTTGCTAAACACATATTCAAACGTCAAAAGCGTTCGTGATGTTTCTTTTCGCAAGTTATTAATAATAAAATAAGCTATTAGTTTAGATTTGTAAATTCTTGATGTCTGTTTTCTTCTTCTCGTCTGTTTTCGATTTCGATATTGGAGTGGTTTGTGTCGAACGAACAGTATTAAACAATTTCAAACATTTTGCTTTTTTATAGTTCATTTTATTTTCAATGGATGAAATCATTTAACTTTATATGAAATGGAAGATACTATGTACATGATCATTTTTATGTATTCTATCTCATACGTATCTGTGTCTAGAATAAAGCATATTGTCGTCAAATTAAACGATCAAAAAAGACATAATCGATTATAACAAAAGCGATTTCTATCAGACAAAGACTATTAAGTACTTTAGTTTATAATGATCACATTGTTTTTTCTCTAATTAACTTATGTCAATTTCAAACTTTTTATCGGATCTATTATATTTTTAATTCTGGAAAATTTCTTATTATTAACTTACCAAGGCTTGAGAACTTTGAAAGAAATTGAAGTAATTTGGTATTGATTCGAAGATGAATAAGAGATTGTTCTACTTGAAAAAATTGATGGAATGAGTTTTATGAAAAATAATTGGATTCTTTCGATTATTATCATGGAGATGTGGATCTGATTCTTAATTTCAACCACGAACAAACGTGTGGATGAGAGCGTGAGGTATAGATATCGATGTATTTGTTTTGTTTCATCCAATACTAAACCTGAAACTCACATCCATACTCGAGATCTATCTATATCATATTATCTTCTGTCAGACTCTTTTCTAAGAA